GGTGGTGTGACCAAAACCCCCCCCCCCCTTTTTTTTTTTAATCTAAATGGTCTTATCTTACCTGCTTCCCAGCAGTTTTTCTGTAGCCATTATGTATAAGGAAAAACCTTTCTATTCTTTTAAGGGCCTTTGAATTTCCATTGTCCAGAAAGCATGGAAATCTCCTAGATTGCATGCATACAGAGGTAAATCTACTTGAAGGTAGAGGGGAGGGACGAACTACTCACATGTTAAAATGAATTGAACTTTACCTTCAAACTTTCCTTTGACTTAAAGATGTTTGAGTAACTTACATTTGAAGACCTTAAAGTATATTACTTCAGGCTCAATAATTAATCTATTAGTAGTTAATGCTTTTCCAGTAACTTTACTACATAAACTCACCAGAACTGGCCTAATAATAATTGTTGAATAAATAACTTTGCATAATAATTGGGGTTTTTTTTCAATTAATTTATTTGAATAAAGTTTGTTTTTTTTTTTCCCCCCACAGTATTTTTTACCTCTATTGTCCACATTTCAAATCTTTCAGCACAGGCTTTCATTATGGAAAAAGAAACTTGAACAGTTTGAATTGTGATTATTTACATATAGATGTGACTTTGAAATATGAGATCCACAAAGGCTGTATTCATGAATCTATTATAGATGTATTTTCTAGAAAATTCTGACTCTGCATCCTTGTGATCACACACCCCCCACCTTGTGAATCTACAAAGGAAAGCTAATTTAAAATGTGATAAGTTTAAATTACAGCATTACTGGTAGCTGTGAGATATGGCAGTATTTTCCAGCGATCTGTAAGTTATAAATTGAAGATTCTTGAAAAATCTGTGAAATGATTGGCTGCAACTTACTTTCTAATAAGAAAATTATTATAGACTAATAACTTTTTATAATTTTGTTGATTACACTGATTGTAATTACAAATGACATTTTTCAGGTCATGTAATGAAAGCTGCTGAGCATTATGAAGCATTTTATCAGCTAACGGAGGGTTCGACTTGGAAGGATGAGACAGGCCATACTTACAATTCACTGGCGTGTGAGCATCTCTGGAGAATTTATACATTACTAGCAGACAAAATGCTAGAAAATAAAGAACACCAACAGGCCATCAAAACGCTAATAAAAGCTTTAAAAATGGCAAAAGAAGGTAGGTGGAAAATAACACCTTCACATTCCTTTTATTTGATGTGCATGCCATGATTTTCCCAAGAGTAAAGTAGAAATTGTCAAGTGTTTGACTGGGTGATTATTTCCTATGAAATTCAAAGACAGATGCTATCAATACACTTCCAGATCTCACTAAAGCAGAAATGCCTTCTTGCTGACAACAAAGAATCTTTTAGATTCCTGAAAGCTTTATTTCTGGAAAAAAAAAACCAGCCTTGTGGGAATAATAGTATAAAACAGTGAACCCATAAGCAGACAGTGAGGTCACTGATGGGAGCTCAGCTCACTAATTTTGATTGGCTAGTCAGTGTTGATTTGGCAATTTGAGTGATGTTATCTGCTGGATCACTACATTTTCACTCTACATAGTTATTCAGTACTTGCAAAAACCAGTTTTCTGTCATAAGCGAACAAGATTTCTTCTGTAGATCTTAATATCTTGTCTAGATGGAGCTTTTGCAAAGAAAGATTGGACCAGATGATCCTTGAGGTCACTTCCAGCCTGGTATTCTAGGATTAATATACATAAATATTTTGAAACCTCAAGTAAAAAATGAGAGAATTGCAAAATAGCTGAGGTAGGTAGACAGACCTCTGGAGATTATCATGGTCAGCTAGAGCATACTGTCCAGGACTACATCCAGTCAAGTTTTTTAGTATGTCCACAGGTGGAGATTTCATAACCATTCTGGAAAACATTTTCCACTGTTCAAATTACCCTCACAATAAAGAAGTATTTTGCTGAGTTCAGATGGAGTTTCAGTTTGTGCCCATTGCTTCTTGTCCTGTCGCTGAGCACCACTGAGAAGAGTCTGGCCTCCTTCTTTACACGCTCCCATGATAAATTTTTACACAGTGATGAAAACCCCCTGAGCCTTCTCTTCTGTGGTCCGAACAGTCCCA